CGTTCAGCGAAGCACGTGGCTGCCCGCTTTGTGCATCCTCAGCCCTTTAATTATGTCCCTTTTCCCCTTGTGCTGTGAAAAGGGCTGGGGGGCGTCTGACTGCAGCCGCCGGCACCTTCTGGGTGAGCGCGTGGGCAGCAGGGCCGATCCTGCCCGTGCTGGAGGCAGGGTGCTGGGTTATGCATAGCAGGAGCTGCAAGGCGCTGCTTATTTTTGCTGTTATGGGCATGTAGGAGATGCAGGGGAAGAAATCCTCCCTAAGCCCGGAGCTGCCCGGCCGGGGACGCAGAGGTGCCCTCTGCAAGGTCAAACTGTCCCTCGGGCTGCGCGTTCAGTGCCTGGGGTCCGGTGGGACCCTCGCTCTCTGCTTTGGGTAATGCTGCTCCGTCTGCAGCCAAATCTCTGTCCTGGCGCAACAAACCCTGGGTGCAGCCCGCGGGGAGCAGGCAGGGCAGGGGAAGGAGGGTTTGACACGTCAGCTCCCGGGTGGCACGAGGACGGCCCTGCCCACTGGGTAAATGCTGGGAGCTCTTCACCTTTTGGGGCAAAACGCCTGGAGCTGGGAGGGATGGAGCTCCCTCAGGCATTGGGCACCCGGGGCTGATGGACAGGCGGCTGGGAATTAGCAAAGTCCCCTTCTGCGCGGGGCAGCACTGCTGCAGGCGGCCTGCCTGCTGCCTGCCAGATGGCACGGGGCTCCCCGGCACCCACCGCCCCGGGAGCACGCAGCACCTCGTGCGATGGGGACGGGTGGCCATCAGTGCCACGCTCAGCGCCGGTGCCTGACCGCCTGGCATTTCTGCCCCCGCCTTCACGTGCCCCTGTGCCAGCAGCTGGAGCTACTGGTTAGACTGGTCTGAGACCTCCTCGTTCTCCTTCAGTGCCGCCGGCTCTTGTGACTGTGACATAGCTGTGCTGGATGCCCCGTCCTTAAGGACAAACGCCCTTTGCCCCGTGATGGCTCGCGTCCTCCCGCTGCGGGCTGAGCCGTGCCAGGAGCAGGGCTGGGGGGGCTGCAGTGGGCACCGGGTCCTGGGGGACACCAGGGACAGACGAGGAGGGGGAACACCGGCACCGTCAGCTGCGCTGTGTCCCAAGGGCCGGTGCTCGCCGGAGGAAAAGCCTCCCAGCTCCTCCCAGTTGGCCGCACCGTTGTGGAAGCGAGCAACTGGTTTGCGGGGATGCTGTGCCCAGCGGGGAGCAGGTGAGAAAGGTCCTGGGGGTGGGGGGGG